TGCTGTTGATAAGGCAGCAGATTGGGTGCTGATAGGGAGGTATTTGCATGTATCTTGGCAGCAAGTCGGAAGTAACAAGATGGGCCATGGGCTCCTTCCTGGGGAGACAGATGATGTGCAGATGGGCAGATAGGCTCCAATCACGTGAGCCAGAAGCTTTGACATGCTGCCCGCCCACGCTTGCTAAAATCCAGGAGTGACCACTCCAGTCCCATTACCCATGATCCCTTCACATGGGCCAATGCTTCAACCATTTGAACTACTTGCTGGCAGTCTCATCAAAGAGTTTGCATTTGGGGCCGGCCCGGTGGCGCACTGCTACAGTGCGCCACTTGGGAGCGCGGCGGCACTCCCGCCGAGGGTTTGGATCCCACATACAGACCGGTTCCGCTCACTGGCTGAGCGAGATGCGGGAGCAACACCGAGGGTTGCGATCCCGTTGCCGGTCCCGGTCCGGTACGGGCATGACACTGAGGGTTGCGATCCGTTGCTGGTCACGAAAAAAGACAAAAAGGAAAAAAAAAAAAAAGAGTTCGCATTTATTAAATATTCATTATGTGCTGGGCATACATCTGTGATCGTCACCTTCCCCAGCCCTGTGGGACAGGTACAAGTGATGAAAAGGAAGTCCTCAGATATTAGAGGACTTGCCTCAGTTCGTGGTTCTGGAACATACACATGCATCAGAATCCCATGGAGGGCTGTGAAAACAGACTGCTGAGTGCCACCCCCAGCGTTTCTGATTCAGTACATCTAGGGTGTGGCCCAGGAATCTGCATTGCACATAATGCCCAGGTGCTGCTAATGCTGCAGCTCTGACAACCACTCTTTGGGAGCTATTGGTCTATGTCAAACAGCTAAGGCGTTCAAGGGCAGGACCACACCCAGGTCTGCCAGATTTCATAACCTGTGTCTTTTTTGTGTGTGTGTGTGTGACCGGTAAGGGGATCGCAACCCTTGGCTTGGTGTCGCCCGCACCGCGCTCAGCCAGTGAGCGCACCGGCCATCCATATATAGGATCTGAACCCGCGGTGGGAGCGCGACTGCTCACCCAAGCACCGCACTCTCCTGAGTGCGCCACGGGGCCAGATTCCATAACCTGTGTCTTTTTAGGTGATATGAACTGACCCCTGGTGTGTCCCAAATGGGCTGTGTTTTGCACACATCAGTGCCCTCTTGGGTAATGTCTTCTCTTCCTGGGACACTCTACTCCTTGGTTCTCCATCGTGCTACCTCCTCTCATCCTTCAGGACTTGGCTTAATGTTTTCCCTTCTAGGAAGCGTTTCCTGAGCTCTGGCCCTGGGTTAGTTACTCCACCTCTGTGCTTCTGGGATCCCCCATACAGACCTGTATTTCCATCCTACTTACACTGTTTAGTCACTGTTGGTTTACTTCTCTGACCATTTGCAGCCCCCCACTCCTTCTCTGTGTGCCTCACTGCCTTACCTTAGTAGACATCCAGGCACTGTTGGTAAAGTAACTGGTTCGGTAACTCCAGTGAGTTGCACCGTACACCTGAGGTTCACAGAGACCCCACCTACGATGGGCATGTCTCTGTCATCTCTCTGTGGTGGGGGTGACTGGATACTTTCTAGCAGCTGTTGCTGAAGAGACTGACTTCAGAAAAGTGCTAAATCGAGTGCACCCCCAGTGCAGCCTCTTCCTGGCAAAGCTTCCATCACTTTTTTGGATGGATATCCTATCTGACTTGAACATCTGTCCTCTGCTGACTGCCCATGTTGGCTTGGCAGTCTTGATGGCTGGTTGTCCCTGTTCTCCTTTATTCCTCCCTGTGTGTCTCTTCCAAAACTGTGCACTCTGACAAGAGCATGTCCGCCCCATGAAGATGATGGCTTTGGGGCATCAGTTGGGCCCTCCCACTGAAAGCCCCAGATAGCCTTTATAGGTTTATTCACCCTGAGCTGTGATGGTAGTGCCTGTGGTGTGCTGGGCATATTAGTGAGCCTGGAAACCGTGGCTGAATGAGGGAATGGACGTCTGAGATGAGAGAGAACTCTCTGCACAGACAGGAGCTCTGAGAGGTAATGGTTGGAGGGCCAGAGGTGGGATCCATGAGGCTGGCACTATAGGTGGAGATGTAGTTTTGGGAGGGGAACAATGAGCTATACTTAGACAGGAATTGATGCAGAGCCATAAACATTCAGGCTGCCTGCTTGTCACCCAGAGATGCTCCCTGAGCCTCTGGCCCTGAGCACCATCATGAATAAATACCAAGAGGAAATCTCCATTTCAAATGTGGG